TTTTTTTTTTTTTTCTTAGAGAACAGAGACTGCAAGATGAAGTACTTACCAACGAAGAGGATAAATTGGAACTTTCTTGATGATTAAACCTTGTTAATCGACTGACTGAAGGAGTTTGTGTCTGTGTTGATACGGACTCTTTCTTTCTTGGCTCGGTTGATTTCTGAGTATCGGCTCCACTGCTATTTGCTGGTTCTGTATTTTGTTTCAATGTCTACGGCACAATAAATTTCTACAATTATTTCAGTCAAATTTAATGTTGACAATAAAAACAAAAAATAAATAACAAATACCTACGAGCATCCATTATTTATTACAATCGGTATAATATAAAAAAGTTTTAATTTTAATCCACGCAAAGAAATAAATATGTGACTTAACATGACATAAGAAAGCAAGATGTAAAAAGATTCTTAAATGCTTGCTAACATAATGTATACCAGAGTTTTTTCTCTTAGCTACAAACAGCTATTTATAGCTGTATGGAAAGCAGACAGTTTGCTCGCTATATCTTTAACATCCTACAGAGACTTTATACCGATGTGAAGAAAAGCTTCTAAATCATTGTGTTTATACATATATAGAGCTTATATCCCTAATAAATCAAACGGCACGTTCAGTGAATAAATACACACACTGTCAATAAGTTTCATCATTATCTACAACTTCAAATACTCAAGGGTCTCACCTAATTTTTAGCAGAATATCGCATACATCTTCAGTGTCTTACCACTACCTCTCTAAATTATATATTTGTTATCAGACAAAGTGAGTCACTTACCTGAAGCTTTGCTAAAGGAATGATGTCACAATCGCTTGGACGGTGCCACACAGTTTTTTGGGATGTTGCGTTGTAATAATAAAATCGTGAAGTATTTTGATCGAATAATTCCCACCATTGATTGTTGTCTGTCTTTTTTCTGTAATTAGGCACAGAATACATTTATATATAATATAAATCACTAATATTTGTGAAACTATCGTTAGATTATAACAGAAACTTGTCTCATTTTTATACCTATTATATAGGTATTACACAGACTATAACAAATTTGTTATAGTCCAGTAAGTTTCTTTAAGTAATTAAAACTCTTTACTTTGATCTTTACTTCGAACTTAAAACTGTTTCCTTGCAACCTAATTTAGGTTGCACAGAACATTTAGATTCTACATGTGCCTCAAGTAGAAATCTTGTCAATTGCTTCCTACATCATAAAAGGAAAAGCTTAACGTGATGATAACTTTCACCAAGCTAATTAGATAAAAAAAAAACAATTTTATCTTTTAGACTAATTATTTTTTCTTAATGGGAAAGTCGACTTTATAATTTAATCCAGTGTTAATTGCATATTAAAAGAATGTATATATTTATGTCTTACACTGGTACACCAGGTGGAGGATCCCATACACATTCTCCAGTTGTGAGATTGGCATACATATGCTCCTTGGTGCGAGGTTCTATAATTTCTACCCACTCCATTCTACTGCAATTACACAGTTTTTTTTTTCTCTTTAATTTTAGAAACATGAATAATTTAACAATACAAATTTAACATGAACGATTTATCGTAAAAGAATAATTTCACGATACTCTTTGATCCGAAAGATTTATTTTAAAAAATCCGTCCTGCGAACGACAAAGTTATTAAAAAATATCTCACAAGCGATATTTAAACTTGATAAAATCACTAGCGCACACATTAAGTCATTAAAGCATATAGGGTGCACTCGAAGATAAATTTGTTGTTCCTTTTTATTACTATAATTAAAA